ATGAGCATCATCCTTTTAAGTGGTTATCTAGTGGGCTCTTGAGAGGTACTACCTGAAATCTTTGGAAAGCTATATCTGATGGGCTTCTTTTCTTCTTCCACTTCGCTCATTGCACAGTGGGCAATGGATTGCGGGGGTGGTGGAAGAATTGTACATATCAATTACACCACATAACTTTCCATGGTTTTGGTTCTTCCACCTATTTGAATTCTTATGAGACTATTGAATGATTTAAATAACTTTTGAAGTTGTTTTTTTTTTCTCTTGTTCGAGTGTGTTCTCATTAGTATTTTCTCTTGTTCGAGTGTGTTCTCCTTAGCATTTATTTATTTGTGATTATTTTTGTATGGATGAAGTTTTTCTTTCTTAGATTGTAAATAATTATTTAAAAAATGTGCATGACATTAGTTTTTGCAAGTCTTCCTATCACCTTTATTAAAACATCGAAGAGTTTTGGAACATACACAAAAAAGAACGTTTGTGAAGATAGTTTTCCAAATAAACCCTTAGCTTCTTAAATATTGTTATATTGAAGTTGGCAGTTGTCAGTTCGTTTCAAATGGACAGTTAAATATTGAAGGTCTTACTCGGCATTTACTCAGGTGTTCAACGAGGGTGGAGTCCTTTCCCCCAGTTCCAACCATCTCTTCTAGTCAGGGAGCCCCTGAACTTCAAACAATGCGAGTTGTGGTTGGAACACCTCTGAAACGACCACCAAACCATAAGGCAGTGGCGGATTCAGCAAGTCCACTGTTCCCAGTGACTAATTCATCTGTTGACGATTCTAGTTCAGAACATAGATTACCCTTTAATATGGATAAATTCATTCGTCCTGATGGTTTGGGTGACTTTTTCATATTCTGTACCAGTGATTTTGCAACAATCATGAAAGAGGTACATGTGAGAACTCGCAGGGTGCGGCTACTTGGCCTTGAGGTATGTTCAACACCCCCCCCCCTCCCTCTCTTTCTCTCTCTCTCTCTCTCTCTCTCTCTTGTGTGATGAATGTAACTCATGGGATGTTCAGGGTTCGGGCAAAACTTCACTTTTCAAGGCAATAGTTAATCAGGATCGGATGACCCCCATTCCGCGCATTGAGCATCTGCTTCCAGCAATGGGAGTTGAAGAAGCAATTGCTGGTGGCATTTGTTATTGTGACTCGCCAGGAGTGAATCTACAGGTTTGACTTTTAACTCATTAAAAATCCATCAATGCTTTGCCTTTACTATATATGGCTGTCATTTTTTTCCGTTTTGTATTGTTGTTGGGAATCTTGGCACAACAATTGTATGAGTTTTTTTTTTTTTTTTTTTTTCCCTCCATCCTTCCACTGTGCTGTCCCTTCATGGTTTTTTATGGTTTTAATGGTGCAAATGAAAGCTCTGAACTAGTATAATGTCTTTGCTTCACTAGGCTTGCCTTCACTATTAAATTATGTTTTTGTAAATTAGTGATATGTGTACCTTCCTTTATTATCTATTTAGTGTTAAGAAACATATGAAGTAGGTTTGTATTTGAACATGTTGTGATGTCTTTCTGCTGAATGGATCTCCATGTAGCTGGAATGTGATACACTGTATTTTAGAGCTGGTTCTATTGTGATGGATGCAAATTTTACTCGTGCCTTTTTGTACATGTGAATAATGTCTTCTGTGAATATTTCAAGTTCTGTTCTTACCTTATTTTTTCTTTGTTTTAGGAACTTAAGATGGAGGCATCCAGTTTCAGGGATGAATTATGGATGGGGATTCGTGACCTCAGTCGGAAAACAGATTTGCTGGTTCTTGTTCATAATCTGTCGCATAAAGTACCTTTATGCGTGCAATCAAATGGATCACAGCCCAAGCCGGCATTATCTCTACTTTTGGATGAGGCTAAGTCTCTTGGTATTCCATGGGTCCTTGCTATAACAAACAAGTTTTCTGTGAGTGCGCATCAACAGAAAGCAGAAATTGAAGCCGTTTTGCGAGCTTATCAAGCATCTCCATCCACTACTGGAATAATCAATTCGAGTCCTTATGTTTTTAATCCTGGTGCTGCTACTGCTTCCTTGTCCACCAGTGCAATTATTGGAGACTCGGATGTGACAATGGCTGCTCAAAAGCTTTTTCTTGCTCCAATCAATCTTGTTAAGAGGCCTTTTCAGAGGAAAGAGACTGTTCTACCAGTGGAAGGTGTCAACTCTCTCTGTCAGCTTATCCATCGTGTACTTCGTAGCCACGAGGAGGCTTCGTTTCAGGTTTGATCATCTAATTCAAAGAATCTGTAGCTTTACCACGACCCTCTCCTTTTTTTTCACTTCCTTCATCCCGTTTCCCAAAAAATTTGTAGTTCTGTGAAAAAGCTTAAAATCTCCCATTTTTCTCAGATCATTATTATTTTTTTTCATTTTTCTTGGTGTCTCATTTTTGGGTAATATGATTTCAAATTTTATGCGCATATGTTCCAATTGTAGCTTCTCTGAAATCATCCGTCTTTTTTTGGTTGCTATGGTCTGATTCTGAAGTTTAAATCACCAATGATTTCCATATTTGAACTGAAGGAGCTGGCTAGGGAGAGACTTTTCATGGAATTGGAATATGAACGCGCAATGTCAATGGATGCAACTCGAGATGCAAATGCCAAGGAAAACTCGTTAACAGCTGCAGCAGTTGGCGCTTCCCTCGGCGCAGGACTTGGAATTGTTTTGGCAGTCGTCATGGGAGCAGCCTCTGCTTTGAGAAAACCTTGATCCTTCATCTTGACATAATTTGTGAGTTGTATATTCTGGGTGAAAGTAGTTCATAAGTGGTTTATTTTGATTAGTTCAGGTTCCTTGATTTATTACCATCAACAACTATTATATTATTTACTTGATTATTCATGTAAAATTATATTAGGGGAGAAAATTGGATCTTCCAGCAATTTCGAAGTTTGGATATAATGTACAGAGCAAGGTTAGAAATTTAGCTGCTTCCCCCACTTCCCACTCTACTGGTTGTATTCTCAAAACACCAGCTTTGGCAGACTATTAACAGGAAGTGAGATTCTTGTCATTGAAATATTAAATGGAACAAAAGAGAAGAAAAAAAACGTATTTTTTTTTTTAGTTTTCCTTTTCCATAAAACTGAAGTTGGAATTCTGTATGATAGTTTTGTTAGTGCTTGCAGATGCAAATTTGTGGGACTGCCCTCACCTGGCTGTTGAAGCAAATTTTGGGGCGTAAAGTGGGTGAGTATTGAGTATGATCTTAAATTGCTTCAACTTTTAAAAGTTTTGAAATTGAAACTTTCAAAAGTTTCAAAGTATCTTAGCATTTGTACGTTCGGGTAATTTGTTGTTGCTTTTTTTTTTTTAATTTTTTTATTTACTGATCTATTAGACTAAAATTGAACGTCTCGAGTCTTATTAGACATATTAGATCAAGTAATTAGCGATGTAGATCAAATAATTAGCAATTGTTACAGAATAAGTCATATTAATAGGAGTGTTATCATAATAAAACACTAAATCTTTTCTATATATTATATATTCTTTAAATTATTATGGACAATCTCTCGTACGTTAACCACATATTACTTTAAATTACTCTTATAAGAAAAATAATTATTAAATAATAAAAATAATATTATGTGTGTTTGACATAAATCTCAACAATAATATAGATCATTTTCATCATGATTTGGTTTCATTGAAGGGAGGTATATGGTGGGAAATTAATGAGTCCTTTTGAAGTTGTCTTGTTTGTGAGTTGCAAGCAATGTTTTGGTAAAGTCCCAATCACATAATAGATATATCCTTCCAAATTTATGGACTTTCCATAGGACCCATTTTACTGACGGGGTTTATCACCACTTTAGCTACTTTAGCGGCTTGGCCAGTTACTCGAGATTCCCGATTATTCCATTTTCTAATGTTAGCAATGTATAGTGGTCAAATAGGATCATTTTCTGCTCAAGACCTTTTACTATTTTTTATCATGTGGGATTTAGAATTAATTCCCGTTTATCTACCTCTATCGATATGGGGAGGAAAGAAACGGCTGTATTCAGCTACAAAGTTTATTTTGTACCCTGCGGGAGGTTTCATTTCTTTTGTTAATGGGAGTTATGGGTATCGGTTTATATGGTTCTAATGAACCAACTTTAAATTTTGAAACATCGGCTAATCAATCGTATCCTATAGCACTGGAAATAATATTCTATATCGGATTTCTTATTGCTTTTGCTGTCAAATCACCGATTATACCCTTACATACATGGTTACCAGATACCCACGGAGAGGCACGTGTATGCTTCTAGCCGGAGTCTTATTAAAATTGGGAGCATATGAATTAGTTCGGATCAATATAAAATTATTACCCCACGGCCCTCTCTATTTATTCTTAAAAAATAGGAGAAAGGCGTGTACTTTTTGTTCTAAAAAAAAATTAGGCCCCACTCACTTTAGCCTGTTTTCCAAATTGTATCCATTTTTTTTACGAAACAAAAAAAAAAAAAGAAATACGCAGGGCCCACTGACATGGGGTTGATTAATAAATCATAATCAAGTTGGTGGTCTCCTAAATTTGAAATATACCACCATTGGTTTATTAATGGTGAGATCTTATATCGATTGGAATGAGGGATGAGTGACAGTGAAGAAGCTGACCTTAAGGAGGTGGATTGTGAGATCTCACATCATTTATAGAGGAGAATAAATAACTCCTTATAATGGTGTAGAAACTTCTCCCTACATTTTAAAATTGTGAAACTAGACAATAACTGCTGACCGTAGGCTTGAACTGTTATATTAATATTCTAATGGGCAAACATTAATACTCTAATCGGCAACAGTGGACTTGACCTGTTACATTAATACTCTAATGGGCAACAGTGGACTTGAACGGTTACATTAATACTCTAATGGGCAGCGGTAAACTTGAATGGTTACATTAGGATCTTTTCATTTTTAGGCATCGGTAGTCTTACATTGTTTCATAGATATGACATTGATATAGTAAGGTAGTCTTACATTGTTTCATAGATATGACATTGATATAGTAAAGTGAGTGAGAGTATGATTAAAACAAAATATGTATATTTAATTGTGCAAAGAACTCTATCTTTCTCTTTCTCTCTCAATGATCCTCACAACGCTATGATAAATAATAAACATAGAATAGAAATAGAATTAGAAGGAGGGGAAAAAGGATACATATGATGAAGCAGCTAAGTGGATTTGTTTGTGGATTTCCTGTTGATAACCACAATCCATGTCACGAGTTCTAAGACTAGAGCAATGGCGCCCACGACGATGATGGTAACCACATACGCAAACTTCCATTTGTGATCAGGGCTAAGTATGTGGAAGCCCTTGAACACATTGATGATGCCGAGGATCAAGATTGAGTAACCAATGCTGTGGTGGTATATGTTCCAATATACTCTGTATTTGTGATCCTTTTTTGGTCTCAAGAACAGTGCGAACATCTGTCACACTCGTATTATTTCAATATCCATTACTAATTCCAACTATTTTATCTCAATCGACTTTATCTGTGTTAACTATTTTCCGGGAAATTTTGCAGAATGCAAGGAGAAAATGCCGAAACGGAACCGAAAAGGAAAAAGGAAGAAGAAGTACCTGCAAAGTGGCCATGGAGAAAAGCGCGATTCCGATATTCCGGTGATCCAAAACCTGATACCCTTCTGATTCACTCCCAAGCTTCATTCCAGTCCCCCAACCCGCTACTCCAATGGCGTACGCAGAAATCTGGCATGAAATATGAAGATAAAACCACGCCGGATCCGCCGACGGAAAAACCCTAAGGTACCTCGCAATCACGATTCCAATCGGGAACAGAAGCCCCCAACTCACCGCGTTCAAAACTCCATGAATCTAAAAGATTAAACGCAGAGGAAAAAGGAAGAAAAAGTTAAAGCGGAGGAAATCGGTGAAGCGATATAAAAATCAGGGGACAAATGTTCCGTAGAGATCGCACATTTTTCCTTATCATTCGTGGATCGATTTCACCGCCGCTAGATGCGGTGCTCGTCGATTCACCACCTGACAAACTTAGGGTTCCTTTCGCATTAAGATTCTCCGGTTTAAACTCATGAACGCCCAAACGAGTTCCATCCACAGACGGCCCGACCTGCCAGACCTGATTCAGCGTCGTATCACCCACAGGCACCTTCAACTTCGCGAAAATAATCAACTCTCCGCCGGAAAATTCCCCCGCCACATCCCAAACCTCAAACGAAAGCTCAGAAGGCTTAACAGAACCATAAGACGCAACATCATAAGTCTTGACAACCGGAACACCAGCGTCGAGATAGGCAACAAGAGCCTGAGAACCGGCCATACCAGTGGAGGTGGGATTGACAGCCCAAGCGATCCATCCAGCGGCATTGGAGTGATCGGCAACAAATGCAACGGAAAGAGAGGAATTGGAAGAATCGAAAGTGGAATGGAGGGAGGCGGAAAGGTAAGGGAGATCGGAGCAGTGAGAATAGAGATTGTTGTTGGAGAATTTAGCGGAAGAACAGAGGCGAGAATTTGCAGGAGAAAGAAGAAGAGAAAGAGAAAGGATAAAAAACAACCCCCAACTCGGAGACGCCATGGAAGAGGAGGAGGAGGAGGAGGAGGAGGAATTGGGAGTTGTCGAGTTTTTTGCGGGGCACTGGAATTTCGAATATATTGCTTTAATAAATTTACCACCGGAATTAAATATGCTATCATTAGAAAATTTTAATTCAAATTCAAATTAAAAATTAGTTTCGCCGCTTCGCGACACGTGGTGGGAGCTTCTTCATTGCTGCGGTGGCAGAGACCCATTTTATTTATTTTTTTTTTCTTTTTATAATTGGTCCCACTTTTATTTTCTTCCTTTTCTTTTCTATTTCCATCTGGATAATGTTTATATGAAGGAAATTACGTTTCCATCCTTTTCTTCTATTTTCAATTTACTCCTTCCACTTTTTAAATTATTTAATATACAAAATATTTCTAAACGATATTTCCCCTTAATATTTTGTTCCAAATAATACGTTTGAATTTTTAAATGAAATTCATATCTTTAAAAAAATTTAAAATTCAAAATTATCTGTCATCGGCGGAATTGTTAATAACCAAGGAACTTAAAAAGTTTTCTAAAACAATTAATAGGATTTTGAACCATACAAAAAAAAATTAAAGGTATTTTTTAATGATATTATTATTATTTTTTTGTGAACCATGTCCACGGAATTTTTGAAAGTGTAATGGTATTTTACTAAAATGTCACGAGGCTATATGTCTGCATGTGCATAACTCTAAATCTCAATTTTCGTTCAAAATTCTAAAAATATATTTATTTATTTCACGTCCACCTAATTGGATGAACTGGGTTAAGTTTGGGGGTTGAAACCGATTGGTTATGATAGAAAATACCACATAAATTAGGTCGATGTTGTTGTTCGAAAGAATTGGGTTTCTAGTAAAAATATAGACTTATTTATTACCTATGTAAATAAATATTTAGATCATGACCCGATCTCATTTAGTTAACATGGAGAAATCATTCTCATCTTCTTCACCTATTCTCCGCTAAGTTCGTAGCAAAATCTCACATAATCTCGATTTCATGGGTTAAATGGATATCTCTAGTTCTTAGTTCACAAGTCGTTTCATTCTTAACTCATTTAAAATAAAATAACATAGAATAACGTGATAATTGATTTTATGAAAATTATTTAAATATATATTTTAATTGTAAATAACGTTACTTGCATTTTCTGTCTGATAATATTTGAAACGATTTCAAAATTAAATATATATATTTTTAAAAAACAAATTTCAAAGTAAAATAAGTAAATAAAAAAAAATGAAAATGAAAATGAAAATAGAATTTAAGAAGACGTGGAAAATGAGGGAAGGAAAGGGTGACAGCGAAGGAAGAAGGAATGAATTATGAACGGAAATTATGAGAGATTATTAAAAAAAACACAATTATGGAAAACAGTTCCATGCCGCTGACCTGGCATCCTACCTTCCACCTGTCAACTTCACCTTCACTCCGCGCTTTACCTTTTTCTCTTCCTAACCACGTGCCACGCATGCTTTTCCATGACATTACCCTTACGTCATCATCACCTCATCCATCTTCCCATTTTTGTTTATTTATTTATTGGTTCCTAATTACTTATCTACTACTCTACTTATGAAATTAACATGTATTTTTTTTTTAATTTAAATTTTTATAAGTTTATATGTCAATGCGTGTCCCTTTATATATTAATTAATATTTGATAAATATATCACATTATATATTAATTAAATATTTAATTCACGTTCAAACAACTTTTAATTCATTTACATGTGCGAAAACAAATATTTAATTCTCATGTTCCGAAGAAAAGAAACAAAAAAAAAAAAGTCAAAAAATGTCTAAATCTAAATATAAAAATAAAATTTTAATCATTTAAAAGTAATTGCATCACTTTTTCAAAGTTTAATGGTAAGACTTTCTTTTTTAGAAAATAAAAATAAAATAGAGTAAAAGAGTCCATTTATTGAGTATTGAAAATAATAAGCGTCGGTGTTCAAATATTTGACTATTTTGGAAATTAAAATAATGTTTTTTTAAATATTTGAGATTTAAATAAATAATTTTGAAAGTCTAAACAGATCAAAATTTGAAAAAATAATAATTTGTTTTTAATTATTAAGACTATATTTATTTCCATAAAAAGAGCAAAAACAGGTTAGATTTATGTAATTAAATATTCGAAAACTTTTAATTAAAATAGAAAAGTTAAAATTTCTTCTTATATTTGAGGTGTCCAATTTTAAATTATATTTTTTAAAATAAAAATATTACTTTTCGTACCTAAAATTTAGAGAGGAACATGTGAGATCACACGTCCGGTGTGAAGGGAAACAAAACATTTCTTATTCCTTACAAATATATGAAAAATCTCTCCTTCAGATACCTTTTAAAATTGCGAGCCTGAATGACTATATGTAACGGCTAAAATAGACTCGGAAAATAATGAGCTTAAACAGTAGGAATTATTTTAAAACTAAAATAAATAGTATTTAATTTATTTTTGAGATTTCAATTGAGAATATACTAATTTGTCATTTCCTTTTTTATTGGGTAAATTATGTGAATTAAATCTGATTCAATAATAATGTAAAATATTTTTTTTTCAAAATAAATTATTATTATTATTATTATTATTAAATAGGAGAGTTGTGTTATTATAGATATTGTTTTTATAACAAAAATTAGAATAATTCTCCAAAACAAATGGAAATAAACGATTAAAACGAAAATATTATTATATTTTTCTATTTTGTTGTAACGAAAATAAATATAAAAAAAAACCCAAAAATCAGAATATAAAGTCACAGAGTTTTGCTTTTTAATTTTTTTTTCATCTAAATTAAAATTAGACACTAAAAATTCCCCAAACAAACACAAACCAACCCACAACCAGCCCCAAATTTCCGCTTCTAATTCCGGCGACCCCACTCTTTTCAGGGCTGGGCGCGGTGGTGGAAGTGGTAGTTTCGTTGACACCGACAACCGCTGGCGAAGGTGCAGGAGACGCGCCGTCGTGAGCATATGGGGCAGGACTAGCACTAGACTTCTTATCAAACTCCAACACGCCCGTGGCCTTCAAATTAGCCTGTTCGAACTCATGAACTACAGGAACACCAGAATCCGGGTCAACCGCCGGTCCAACTTGCCAGACCTGGTTCAGCGACTTGGTTTTAGGCGGAACTTTGACGGTGGCGAAGATAGTGAACCGACCATCGGAAACTTCGGCGGCGAGGCCCCAGACGAGGAAGGAGAGTTTCGGTGAGGGGACAACAGAGGAGTAGGAGGAGATGTTGAAGGTACGGACGGTGGGGGATTTGCCGGAAACAGAGGCGACGAGGGCCTGGGCTCCGGCCATGCCGGTGGAGGTGGGGTTGACGGCCCAGGCGACCCAGCCGGCGGATTGCGGCGGAGAGGCGAGAAAAGCGAGGGAGAGAGAGGAATTTTTGGGGTCGTAGGTCCAGTGGAGAAAGGCGTCGAGATGGGGGAGATCGTCGCAGTGGGTGAAGGATCTGTTGGAGAAGGATTGGGAAGAGCAAGTGAGGGATTGGGCGCGTGAAATTAGGGTTCCGGCGAGGGCTAAGAAGAGGATGAAATGGGGGGAGGACGCCATTGGAGGGGAAATGGGAGAGAAATGGGAGAGAAATTGGGAGTGGGAGAGAGGAGGAAATGGGGAGAGAATATATAAAGGTGAACAGGGAGTGGGGCGTTAGGAGGTTGGGGAAGATCAACTTTTGTGCCACTAATTTTGGGAATTGCGAGTGGGAACTTACTTACCATAAAAACTTCTTTTCTTTTCTTTTTCTTTTATGTTGCGGTTACAATGTTTGACTTTGACTTTCATTTGTGTGTTCTAAGTAAAGTGGTCAACTTCGATGCAATACCAAGATACTCGAGAACAGAAAGAGTACTTACTACCATCGTATTTGGCTTATCGACGTCCTTACTGATGGAGGCATACCCTTTTGCTTGTTCACGAATTTGCATACGTCTATATACATCACTTGAGTTTGATGGCTAATTGACAATGTCTTCAATAGTTTTTTTGGATGATAACTAGCCATATGGCCCTGTAAACCCTATTGACAGAGATGTTGAATTTGTCCTTTATTTCTAAATGGTATGGTTGCTTGCCTGCTACGGGCGTCAAGGTGGCTTGGGGTTTGATGCAATTTTGTCAAAGAGTTGTTTTTTTCTTACTGAAGTTGTTAAAACTATTAGCCTCTGGAGTCTCCTAACTAGGTCGTTTGTCATCATTTGTAGTTGTTCTATGGGCAACAACATAATTAGTTGGCATCAAGGCTGTAACGAAACCTCGGACCACGTGATGAATCTCTTTGTGTTCTTAGACTTTGTATTGGCCAATTTAGAGTTAATCTCATCGATCTCGTGAATTCCACCAACATAGTGGCAAATTTGGAGCAAGCTAATGAATTTCTATTGTTTCTTTAATTTGGCTTTGCTTAGTTAATATTCTTCCTAGAATAGGAATTCTTATTTGAACGATTGTCATGTGATTATAGTTCCACCAAGACGAAGAACTTCCTGCGTTGATCGCCACCACATGTGTGCATCATTCTACAACATAAATGACGTACATAATACTCTTTGGTCATCAACGCATTTCATCTAACGAAATATCATCTCCATAGACAGCAGTCATAATCGTGCCATAGTCAAATCTTTAGAGACCCGATTCAAGACACGAGGGTCATATGTCTTGAAGTCATGTAAGTATTTTGCATCTGGCAACCATAGTAAGGTTTGAACTTATTGGCAGCAACATTGTAAGTGTCATGGTGGTGCCCAGGTGGTGTCACGAGTAGGCCTATCCTACTCACTAAAGCTTCGCAAGTCAAACTCGTTCTACTCCTATCTCGTCCTTCAGCAGGTAGTCGTTAATATAAAATTTTCATTTATTCGTAATATTTATATTGCACTTATCAAAAAATCATAATCATAACATATCAACATTATTTATTATCTTTCACATCACATAATAAAAATTCCCTACAAAGTTTATTGCTAAGAAAGTTACGTTTATAAGAAACTAAAATGTCACCGCTCTATTAATAATTCATTCTAAACATTATTGGATTTTACGATAGGTTCGAAAACATTACTTTAATACTTAATAATAATAATAATTTTTTTCAGCCAATGGTACGGATCTAATAATAATAATATTATTATTAAAATAATCCAAAGTTCATAATGTAATCAAATTAAATCATTTATTTATATATTCGGAGGAATCAAAATAAATAAAAATAATAATTAGAAAAAAAAACCCAAAAATCTGAATCACAGAGTCACGGAGTTTGTATTATTATTATTATTTTTTCTAAAATTAAAATCAGAAATTAATAATTCCCCAAACAAACACAAACCAACCCGCAACCAGCCCGAAATTCCGGCTTCTATCTCCGGCGACTCCACTCTTATCGGAGCTGGGCGCGGTGGCGGAAGCGGCAGCTTCGTTAAGGCCGACAACCGCTGGCGACGGTGCAGGAGACTCACCGCCGAGAGCATGTGGGGCAGGACTAGCACCACCCTTCTTATCAAAAACCAACACGCTCTTGGCATTCAAATTAGCCGGTTTAAACTCATGAACAGAAGGAACACCAGTATCCGGGTCGACCTCCGGTCCAACTTGCCAGACATGGTTCAGCGACTTAGCCTTGGGCGGAACTTTAACGGAAGCGAAGATAGTGAACCAACCGTTGGAATATTCGGCGGCGAGATCCCAGGCGAGGAAGGAGAGTTTCAGTGAGGGGAGAACAGAGGAATAGGAGGAGATGTTGAAGGTACGGACAGAGGGGGCTTTCCCGGAAACAGAGGCGACAAAGGCCTGGGCTCCGGCCATACCGGTGGAAGTGGGGTTGACGGCCCAGGAGACCCAGCCGCCGGAATGCGGCGGAGAGGCGAGAAAAGCAAGGGAGAGAGAGGAATTTTTGGGATCGTAGGTCCAGTGGAGAAAGGCGTCGAGATGGGGGAGATCGTCGCAGTGGGCGAAGGATCTGTTGGAGAAGGATTGAGAAGAGCAAGTGAGGGATTTGGCGCGTGAAAGAAAGCACCCAAAAATGGCTGAAAAGAGGATGAAATGGGAGAAGGACGCCATTGGAGGGGAAATCTCTGAGCTCTGAGAAGAAATTGGGAGTGGGAGAGGAGGCGGAATTGGGTACACAATATATAACGATGAACCGGTAGTGGGCCGTTGGGAGGTTGGGGAAGACCCATCTTCTGTACCCGTAATTCGAAATGCCAGCTGGAATTTAATTTTTATAATTTCAATAATATTAATTTAAAGTTAATTCAATGTTAATTTGTAGTAAACTTATTTTTATTTATTAATTATATAATACATTATGATTGTTAATAAAATCATCATGTTTGTGCCTATAAATTTGTCTGAATGATTTGATTGAAGTTTGTCCACTTTTTATACCAATTATGGATGGTGTGTTTTAGATATGTGTTTAATAAATTAAATTATTAAATTTTAAAACGAATCTAACAGATAACTTATAATTATGTGTCTTAAAGTTTAAAATTATTTAATAAATTCCGATTATCAATTTGATGTATTAAACGCAGAATAAGATTTATTAGATACAATGTATAAGCACTTGTTAACTAGCTATCGTACTTATTATCCGGTAAAAAGTCAACTTTGATTAAAAGTCAACCTTTATCAAAGGCACTAAATAAGAGTATTAGTTTTTTAAATTCATATTAAAACTCGTCATTTTTTTTATTTCGAAGAGGTAACATGTTACCTTGAACATAATTTAGAACATAGAATAGAATGTTATCATTAAAAAAAAAAATTATAGACACTAAAATAATGGCTTGATGCCAGCTCAAGATCTAGTGGAGAATCATTTTTTAAATGGTCTCTTAAAGTTACCTTTTGACGGACTTGCAATCGATTTTTCTTTTCTAATGAATAATTGTGGCCTTTGGATCTTCAAGTCTTGCCTTTGGTAATCATTTCTGTTGGTATTATTGGGAGTGAGTCCCGCGTTGGTTAATTTAGTGAATGATCATGGGTTGATGAAGTAAAAGAAATACATCTCTACTGATATGAAGCATTTTGGGAAGTCCAAAGTATAGAGAGCTTAGGGCTCAAAGTGACAATACGATCATTCATGTTATTTCAGAATTTAATCTTTTAAAAAAATAAAAGTTTCACTTTAAAATGGTTTTTTTAAAAGTAAAAGATTTAAAATTACTATGTTCAATTTATTTGTAGTTTTAAAAAATTATTAAAAGTTGATAGTGGAATGTTTTAATTAATTTAATATTAATTTATTCAGTTTATAATTCGAATATATCACGTATAATTAATTTTTTAATTTTTCTTTCTCTTTTATTTATTTATTTTATTGAAAGTAGATTACTAAAATTAGAAATTTTTTTCTTGCTGTTTATAGGAACTGACAACGACGTCGTTTGGAAGGAATTAGGAGCAATATCGGAGGGAAAAGGACTGGTTTATTGGTCACGCGGTGCCGGACTTAACAAAATTCGTTCACCGATACGACAAATGGCATCACCGGCAAGAACCTCAAGCATCAGTCTACATTCTTGAAGTCGAGGGCTGCTCTTAGCAAGCACTGTTCATGTAATTTCAATCTATATTTTTCAGTTTCCAGTTGAATTGAAGGTGGATCCGGTCCTACTGAACTAAAGGAAGGAAAGCAAAATGTTGAGGCTAAGGGCGTTTCGGCCTTCGAACGAGAAGATCGTGAAGATACAGATGCATCCGACACATCCGTGGCTTGTTACGGCTGATGCGTCGGATCACGTCTCTGTTTGGAATTGGGAGCATCGGCAGGTTATTTACGAGCTCAAAGCAGGCGGAATTGATCAGAGGCGTCTCGTTGGCGCCAAGTTGGAGAAGCTCGCTGAGGGCGAATCAGGTTCGAGTCGATGAGATATTTTTTTTTAAAATTGTTCTGTTTTGAATCGTTTTCTGAATGTTCATCTGAATTTTTCTTTTTTGTTTTGCTGATTTGTGTCTCTTGAACGTGATTGTTAGATTTGAAGGGGAGGTCGGCTGAAGCTATACGAGGGGGAAGGTGTGAGTCTGTCATCTCCCGGTTTTCTTTTGTTTGATTTGAAAATTGCTAATTGTTTAATGCAGTGTCAAGCAGGTGAACTTCTATGACGATGATGTACGCTTTTGGCAACTTTGCCGGAACCGTGCCGCAGCTGCTGAAGCTCCGTCATCTGTCAACCAAGTTACATCAGCTATGAGTTCCTTTGCCCCTTCCACAAAGGGAAGGCATTTTCTAGTTATCTGTTGTGAAAATAAAGCCATATTCTTGGACTTGGTGACAATGCGAGGCCGTGATGTTCCGAAGCAGGATCTTGACAATAAATCTCTTCTCTGGTAAGTTCATCACTCTGTTTGATACCCCTTGATCGTGTAATTGTAGAATTAATTTGTGTTTTGATTGGAAGTAATCCCGCCACCATCCATGTTGCAGCATGGAGTTCCTTTCTAGAACTTCGGGAGGAGAGGGTCCTCTTGTGGCCTTTGGTGGATCAGATGGTGTTATTAGGGTCCTCTCAATGCTAACCTGGAAGGTTTGAGATATTTACTCACGAAACGAAGTTTGATAGCATTATCAAACTGTTGTCTTATTTTCTAACTTCATATTTTCTTGCAGCTAGTGCGCAGATATACTGGAGGTCATAAAGGATCAATCTCA